GAGAGAGAGAGAGAGAGAGAGAGAGAGAGAGAGAGAGAGAGAGAGAGAGAGAGAGAGAGAGAATAGATTGTAAGAACTATAAGTCACTTCTCTTAAGGTGGCGGGGCCTGTTCCTGCCCTCCCATCCTTGTCAAAAGCAATCTGCACGTAAGTCTACTCAGCACCAACAAGACCAATTTGGGCCATTCATTAAAATTAATGCCTGCGTCCAGATTTTAATCTGGAGAGACAGACAGATTCGACAATGACCGGGGAAAAGCGGTACTGTAGTCATGGACCATCTGAGTCCGGGATCAAGGAAGGTCGGGAGAATTACACAGAAGTATTGTGTTCACCTAAACCAGAGGTGAAGAACTTGCAGACAACCTGTTCCCCAAAGCACCTGAAGGTAGAACAAGAAGCAATGGATGGAAGATTATCAAAGAACGATCCAACCTAGAACTAAGGAGAAATTTCCTGATATGGGGAACAATTCATCAGTGGAACTACTTGCCTCCAGAGGTTATGGGTGCTCTTATCACTGGAGGGTTTCAAGGAGAGTCTTGCCAACCACAGGTCTGAAATAGTAGTGTTTCCTGCCTGAGCGTGGGGGGGGGGGGAAGGTGGGGTTGGACTAGAAGACCTCCAAGGTCCCTTCCAACACTGTTACTCCGTTATTCTGTAGAATTACAGAAGAAAAAGACGGCCAAGTTAACATTTCAGTACCGAATGTTCTAGAAGGGATCTCTTTGTTACCGTCAAAGCTTCTGAGATTTGCCCTTTATCCGTTTTTCGCTCCTAGCCGAAGGAAGCAGAACTGGGGAGACAGCGGGCAAGAAACAGCATTTGGGAGCAAGCAAGAAACACGTAGCTTAATTCACGACTTGTTTACCCTAATTTGCAGCTCTGCCAAGAGCGGTTTGCAAAAGTCAGGCCAATTTGAGGGAAAGAGAGGGGGAAAAAATTTTTTTTGCAGGAGACGAGCATCATGCATAAAACAAGCGAGCCTGTAGCAGAAGACGAGAAGTGCTCGGCGCATACAAAGTCCATTTGTGAAGGAGGTTTTTCCCTGCGCTACAAAATAAGGAAGGGAGGGAGGGAGACCAGAGAGAGAGATACAGGAAGGCCGTCAATCTGCAGCAAAGAAATAAAATAAAACACCTGTGTGTTCCAGGAAATGGAAACTCAAAGGTTACCTGGCGGATGGTCCAGAGAGCCTTTAGGAAAGTCTATCCCATTTACCCAAAAAGTATATTGTTCATGTTCTATTGTTCCTCTCCCTCCCTTCCAAACAGATGGTTTCCTGTTTGATTTGGAAGATGCTTTTTAAAACAAAGGGGGGGGGGGGACTTAGAACAATGCAGAGACCAGGACAGAGGGGGAAATTGAGGCCCGAGGTTGTTTTGTGATGTTTTTGAGGGAGAGAACGAGAAAGACTACAACAAGGACAAGAACATCTCCCACATTTTCGGATGGGTGGAGAACGGCGACAATGGGTGAAAAGGTTGAAAAGCCCTGCTTTAAGGCACCCAGGTTAAATCTTAAAGCCTCCCCCAAGGGGAAAAATGGGCCGTAGTTGTTTCAAAACGATCCCTCCCCCCTCCAAAGCCCAGCTATAAAATATTCACAACTCTTACAACAATGAGAAACGGCAGCAGGCAGGTGCTCCAGGTTTCGTGTCTGATGTCCAGCAGTCTTGGGCAGTCTGGACGACCTCTTGGCCTCCTTTCCTTTCCTTCCTTTTCTCTTTCACAGTTTCCTTCCTTTCTGCTTAGCATGCTTGGCTGGCCCGGCCAGTGTTGATGGACGAGAGACCGAAGCCCAGCAGCCACCGCCCGGGAGAGTAACCCAACTTCACACCCCTGAGTTCAAACCTCCCGGATGGCTTAGCTTTGTTTCATCTAACACAGGGGTAGTCAACCTTGGCTCTTTTATGACTCGTGGACTTCAACTCCCAGAATTCCTGAGCCAGCCACGCTGATAAGATTCTTTTGCAATAAACCTATTTACACATAGTCCTCGACTTACAACAGTTCGCTTAGTGACTGTTCGAAGTTACAACGGCACTGAAAAAAGTGCCCCCCAAGCCACAGCGGAGCAAGACACCTGCCTGCCCGCCCGTTGGCGCTCTTCCTCCTGTCCGAGGTTTTCATTGTTGTGAGCATTTCTGTTGAGGATTGGCAGCGGGGGTGGGGTGGGGGGTGTTTGATTTTTATTCCCCCCTGTCTGCTGGATGGTTGCAGCAGGTTTTGGTCACTTCACATGACCCTGGGACACTGTGACCGTCATAAATATGAATCAGTTGCCAAGCATCTGAATGTAAATCACAAGACCCTGGAGAGGCTGCAACATTCCAGCTGCTGATCGGCGCTTCTTCTGGGCTCAGCAGAAACACCAGGATCAGCGCCGAGCTCCAGCTGGATCCTGGTGCTGATCCTGGCGCTTCCACTAAGCCCTGACAGCCCTGCAGCTCCAGCCGTCTCTCGCTCAGGCTTGTGCGGTGCTGCCACCGGTTCAGCTCATTCCCCTCCCCCACTACCACTTTTCTAGGATGGTCGCGTACCCCCTGCCAGGTGCCAATGTACCACAGGTGGTACCCATACCACTGGCTGAAAAGCCCTGCCTTAAAGCAGCCCTGTTGCTCCTGAAAAAACAGCCACATCCCATCCTGTCAAGAATGCCCACTAAGAATTCCTCCACGAAAGGAATTCGTGGGTTAAATTATTTCTGAAAAGCAAATTAAGCAGCCATTGCAGTAATAAAGGCTGGGAGAAGCCCCCCCCCCCGCTTCGCTCCAAAGACCCTCAACCCTGCAACAAATGAAGACTCAAGAAGCCCTGATTCACAAGTTGCCAACGTTCCCTGTCCTCCTCTAACAACAACAGACCATAATTGGCAGCCGATGGAGCTGAGATGGTCCCTAGCTTTGCCACAGCACTCCTGCCGTCTTCGTCTCTGGAAGGACAGTTTTAAAAATAGACCCTAATTATGTTATTCTGCATTCCAGGAGAAGGGGGGGGGGGGAAAATCCAGAGAAGAAAGCTCCAGGCAGGGTCTTGCTAGACAATTTTGCTCTGAAGGAAAGATTTTGCTAAGGAAGCAGACAAGAGGCAGCTTTATATATATATAAATAGTTATCACGTCCAGCCCACCCAACCCCCCCCCCCTTCCTTCCAAACCTCCCGCTTTCAGTTTCTGCAATTGTTTGGATAGGGTTGCTGGCTTCGTTTTATTTTAAGCAGCTCATCCCGGCTCGGGATAATTATCCCAGAGAGCCTAACGCAGAAGTGTTCCTAATGGGAAGTGACGTTCCCATCCCAAGTCCTGTGTTTCAGTCACGGCAATTTGAACAGCATGAATGAAGGCTGCTTAATTTGATAAGAAAACAGATCCAGCGTGAAGAAGTGGAAGCATTAAGAATTCAGCTTACGTATGTGTATATGGAAAGAGTTCCCCCCCCCCTTTTTTTCCTGTTAAAAAAGGAACAAGTTAAAATAAGGGCAGATGTGGGAAGGACTGGATTTTTCCCTAGATTTTGCTGTATCCAAGCAAGCTGGTTCCTTGTATCTCCACGGGGAGGGGGAAAAAAACCATATTTGAAGGCACAATTATATTAATGTGGATCAGAGAGCAGCTTTGGGTGCGTGCTGCAGTTCTGCAGAAGGGCAGGGAAGGCAATTTTAATTAAAAGGGACTTGGCAAGTTTCTAGCCCTCAAGATCTTTAGATAGGCAACACCTGCTTCCGATCTTGCCTGCCCAAACCTGAGCTTCAGTTACCACTCACAGCGTTTCATTGTTTATTCTCAGAGGAACCAAACCAGAATAATTGATGTGGCCTTGGAAGTGGAAGAAATATCCGAATCAAAATGTTCATACATTTGTCAAAAACCGGAGAGTGGTAATATGGCAGATTAAACAAGGCATTCCTCCTTCTCCACTCCTGCCTCAACAACACTGGAGGATGTTATTCTTCTTGAGTAAGTGCTTCTCAACTTTGGCCACTTTAAAATATATGGACTTCAACTCCCACAATCCCCCAGCCGGCCTGGGGATTCTGAGATTTGAAGTCCAAGCCGTCTTAAAGTGGCAGAGCTTGACAATTAGACAACAGAAACTGTCTAATGGAGATTCTCAGTCCTCCAGGTCATGCTTGTCCCAAAGGTGCTTTTTTAAGGGGCAACTGGATTTTGTTTTTTTTTCTTTGAAGACATTTCGCTTCTCATCCAAGAAGCTTCTTCGGTTCTCGAACTGAAAAAGCTTCTAGGCTGAGAAGCGAAACGTCTTCAAGGAAAAAAAAAAAAAAAGTCCAGTTGCCTTTTGAAAAAAGCACCTTCGGGACAACAGAAACTCTTTGTATTCTATTAAAGTAGGCTTTCCCAAGCTCAGCATTTTTAAGATGCGTGGATTTGCAACTCCACAGGCTGGCTGGGGAATTCTGGGAGTTGAAGTCCTCCCATTGTCAAGTGGTCAAGGATGAAAAACACTAAGCCTAGGCCAGGGGTAGGCCACCTTGGCTCTTTTATGACTGGTGGACTTCAACTCCCAGAATTCCTGAGCCAGCATGGCTCAGCATGGAAACCTCTCCCTTTCCCCTCAGCATGGCTGGCTCAGGAATTCTGGGAGTTGAAGTCCACCAGTCATAAAAGAGCCAAGGTTGCCTACTCCTAGTCTATAGACTTCCTCGTGCTGTAGAATCCAGATGTACCAAATTACAAAGGATTGAGAAACAGGTCAAGCTCCACTTCTGTTAATATTTACGGACAAAGTTTAGGGTGGAGAATTGTCTCGGGCAAAAAATACCAAAGCATTTAGCTACCACCTTTGTCTGGGAATTTAGTTTCTCTGCCTAGATTACATCCTTGGCTTTCCGGGTAAGCTCTGATTCAAGGGCTAACCGGGTCTAGGAGATGAGTAAGCACGTTAATCACGTCCTTCATCTGTTCCACTCCTTGCCTGTTAAGTCACATGAAGCAAGACTGGTGTAATCCTGGCTCATGGCTCAAAATCCACGTTCAAGAGTGGTGAAGAAACAACCAGCCCACGTTTTTTTCAACGTTTTTGCCAAGCATCCGAATGTAAATCACAAGACCCTGGAGAGGCTGCAACATTCCAGCTGATCGGCGCTTCTTCAGGGCTCAGCAGAAGCACCAGAATCAGCGCCGAGCTCCAGCTGGAACCTGGCGCTGATCCTGGCGCTTCCACTGAGCCCTGCCAGCCCTGCAGTTCCAGCCGTCTCTCGCTCAGGCTTGTGCGGTGCTGACACCAGTTCGGCTCATTTCCCTCCCCTGCTATCACTTTTCTAGGATGGTCGCGTACCACCTGCCAGGCGCCAATGTACCACAGGTGGTACCCGTACCACTGGTTGAAAAGCCCTGTCTTAGAAGACGCTAAAGAGAAGCAACATTGCCTTTTTCGTTCCATTTAGCAATGCCTAATTTTCCCCCCTTTTTTTGCCTAAAAAAGGAAATGATTTTGTGATTTACGATTTCGGGGATTAGAAAGACTAGGTCATACAAAGGAAGAAAATATGACAAAAATCTTAGGAATGGGTATGATTAGAATTGTGGGCATCACTAAGGAGAGGAATATTAGAAACCACTTCAGAGAGAGAAAGAGAGAGAAGAGATAGAGAGAGAAAGAGACTTTCTAATCTAGTTTACACCTCTGGGTTCTCTTAGTGGTCTCCTGTCCAAGCGTTAACCAATTCTGCTTCTGCAACATCACTCAAAGCCCGTTTTTTTTTCCTCCCCGCTGCCCGTTCTTCAGCTTCCAATCTTCCCAGCTATTTTTCACCAGATTAAAAAACATTTCTCCCCCTGAAAACCCAAGAATAATAACAGTCAAAAGTCCTGGCA